ATTATTGACGGTCTCCTTCTGAAAGTTTAAGTCGGTAGATAACATAGCTTCATTGAGTGTTTGAGTCTCACTTTAAATAAGGAATGTTACAAAGTCAAATTCAAATGAAGTAGTTGTCCTTTGACGTTTACTCGACTTGGACTCTCTTCATGAGTAACATTTTATTTTGATTTTTCTCGAGGTCATGTATTCCCCTCACTAGATGACCAAAGTCTAGTTTTATATGGATAGATATGTTCAAAGAATTCAACATTATCTGATCTCATTACCGTATTATCATGAATATTTGTATGTAGGGACTTATGAATCAAAAATCGATATTTTTTACTTTTTGACATACCTAGACTTTGACTAGACACTTGCACCTTTAAGATAGAACACTTGAAATATTTCAAGGCGAGTTTTCCCCCTTTACATTTCTCATATGGAATAAGATGTGTCTTGTTGTGAGGTACTCTATTGAGTATTCGATTCGCTATAAGGATAGCTCCCCCACAAGTTTTATGGTAAACGTGAACTTACTTATAAGTAAGATATTTATCATTTCCTTTAAAGTTTGATTTTTCTTTACGGCGATTCCATTAGGTTGAGGAGATTGATGAGCACTAGTTTGATGGATGATTTCATTTTCCAAATATATTTCTACAAATGGATATTCATATTCTCTGCCTCTAATCACTATTAACTTCTGATCATTTTGATCGTTTTATCCAAATTATTTTCAAGTGTAGTTTTATGTTGCCTAAATGCATATATTATTTTATTCTTACCATTTAGCAAATAGACATAACAATAACTGGTGCAATAGTCAATAAAAGTTATGAAATATTTTTTCCCACCACGTGATGGTGTTGACTTCAGGTCACAAATGTCACTCTGAATCAGTTCTAAGGGGTATGAATTCCTTATAGGGATGCTTAACATACTTAGATTCAATGCAAACTCGATATTTTGACTAATTTCACTCAAAGATAGGCAAATCATTTATGTTAATCAGTTTTTGAAAGATTTTTTATTGATGTGTCTCAAAAGTTCATGCCATAAATATTTTGACTCAAGCAAGTACAAAGAAGCAAAATTTTTATTTATATCAACCGCAATCACACTGAGTTTAAATAGGCCCTCATGAGGTAACCTGTTCCTAAATACATCTCATTCTTACTCACTACAACTTCATTAGAAACAAATACACATCTGAATTCGTTCTTGGCCAGAACTTGTATAGAAAATAAGTTCTTTCGTAATTCTAGAACATACAAAACCATGTTCAAAGTCACCACCTAGCCCGATGTCATCTTAAAATGGACCTCGTCAGTTCCTTCCACCTTTACAACATCAGAGTTCGCTACAAAAAAACTTCTCGTCTGCAGGTGCTGGAGTTTATGATGCAAATAATTCTTTGTTGGAACAAACATGACATGAGGCACCTGAATTTGTCCAGTATTCTCTTGAATTCCCAACCAAGTTGTATTTTAAAAGCATTTCACAGAGATCGTCCATCTCTTATTTTGATTGAACCGAATTTTCTCGATCCTTCTTTTTGTACTTCTTAGGGCCTTCGACATTCAGTAGCCTTATGACCACGTCTGCCGTAATTGAAGTAGTTTCGATTAAATTTCTTCGTACGAGGATTGCTCTTTGGTCCAAATGCTTTCTTTCTTTTCTTTGATTTGTGGGATCTTCTTCAACAATATTTACTCCAAAGATTTTTGAATTACCACGTGAGATCTTTTCTGTGGCTTTGTTATCCTTTTTGATTCTCACTCTCACCATGAGATCTTTAAAAGTCACTTGCTTGTGTTAATGTTTCAAGTAGATTTTGAAGTCCTTCCACATCAGAGGTAACTTCTCAAAAATGGCCGCCACTTGAGAAGCATCATTTAGAATCAATCATATATCAAAGATTATGTGAATATTAAGAACAAACATAATATGTTCAACATAAGTATTATACAATTTATACCTTTAGCAAGGAGATCATGAATTATGATCTGTAATTCTTGAACATAGGTGACGACAGTCTTACTGTAAATCATCTTAAGTCCAAGAAATATTGTACATATCATCTTGCAGGTTATTCAAATTATAGTTTTTACACAAAAAATCTGAATGCTTTCATGATTCTATTTCCAAAAATCATTCTTCGTTCGGAGTTTCCGACATAGTATGAACTTCTCTTTAATAAACCTCTGCAGACTCTGTGTCTCATTCTTACTGACATAGACGATGAAGCTATATCAGTCAAGAATGACTAGCCATACAACAGTGCATTTGTTTCCGGTCCTTGTACACACCAAGAAAAAAAGAAAGCAGGTCTCACCTTGGGTGAGCCCAAAAATCCAGCAAGAATCGACTTAACACACTAAGAATATCATCATTATTTGAGAAAGAGCTTAAAAGATCAAATAAGATGAAGGATTTTCCTTCTTTTTTTTTCATACAACAACATTGTTTGGTTGCTTGCATGAAGGAAGGGCAATCTGTCCAATAAGCTATGTAAGTTGTAGCGTGCTAGTGTGCGTACTATTTCTTTATGAGCGACACTCCATCCAAATCTAACGTAGTAAGATAGAATAACATTTTTTGCTGTCATATCTCGAAGTCGATTCTAGAAAACTTTGCAAGTTTTTTAGCCGGTGCAAGGGCAATTGTTGAATGATTGTATGTAACTAATGTTGGTGCAACACTCATTGTTTCAATATTTACTTGACTTAAATTTGTTATTTTTCTGTCACAAATGGCAGACAATTTAGTATGTGAAATACTAGCAATAAAGAATTAATCTTTATACAAGTTTTTTCTGAGTAAATCATGAAGTTATTATATTCTTCTAATCATTAATCAAACGAATTTTAAAATTCAAATAGAGTAGAAAATTAGAAAGCATTTAATCTCGAGAAACCTCAAATATAGAAGTTGGATTAAATTTCTTAAGCTTGTTACCTCCTGTATTCAGGTTAGGAAAATAGAAACATACCAAAAATAAATAATTTGAGTCCACAAAACCTACTGTGTTTTCTTAAGAAATATAATCCCCTCAAGTGCCGAATGTTGTAGATCAATTCCTTCCAAGATAAAATGGATTAATTATTGAAGAATTAGCATTACAACAACTTTCAATAATTTAGTGAATGCAAGAACAACAACGCGATCACATACAAACTCAGTCGATCAATAATTTTAGTTATAAGAAAATGTATGAAGAAGAGAGAAAAAAATCAGGGTCTGAAAAACGAGAAAAACTCTCTATTATAGCCAATAGCATCAAGGAATGCGTCTGTTCAGACAATGGAGTGAACGCATCTGTTTAGACATGTCTTTCCAAAATGTTGTGTCCTTTGGAAAAAATAATGGTCGAGCGAGTGACGACGACGACGGTGCGACGGGGCACCTTCTTCTTAACCCTTTAAGAGTTAAGTGAAGTGTTTCCTAATATAAGGACAACATTTTTCCTTTCTTCTAACAATATGAGAGAAATGACTTTTCATGTGCACGTATTACATGTGCGCGAGGGATTACTTTTAATTAAAAAATGTACCGGTCCTACTTTTTATTTACATTATTATATTCTCTCCAACCTTTACTTAATTTTTATGAATAAAAAGTTGTTTGAGTCATATTCTTCTTATTTTACATTTTACTCCACAAACGTTTTATTCTCCATTTTTTTTCTTTCTCATTTTTTTAAAAGAGAAAATAGCCAAAAGACCCCCTAAACTATTAGTCATTTCTCAACGACACACTTATATTTCATGGGGGTCCTATTACCCTCCTAGACATTTCAAAAATGAAATATATTGCCCCTTAAAAGACCATACCTAGATTTGTGGTGAGTGGTGTATTGCACACGCGGTGCCACATAATTATATGGTACTTTTTTCATATAAAAATATTATTATTCTTTTTATTTATTCTATTCCCCTGCTATGTTTTTTCTCTTCTTTCTTAGCCGTTTCTTCTTATCTTTTTTCTTTCTCTTTCTTTTTCTTCTACAAGAAAATTTTTGTCATTGATGTTTAAATTTCAAGTTTCAATTGTAACCTAAAAAAATTTAATTTCTTAATCTAAGTTTTCAATTTTCTTATAGAACTATTTCAACAGGCAATATTTGAAGCTTTTTCAAAATTAATTAGTGGATTTCATATCATCAGATATTCATCGGCTTCAAAATCTTCAATATTACCAACAAAGTCACCACTACCGAAACCACTACCTCATAACAAGTTTAAGATGATTTACTTAGTTCCTATATTTGGTTCCTAGATAATTTATAAAAGAAGTATTTCAAAATCAAGTATTCTAATAGTTTAAACATTTAAGTTATATTTGAGAGTTTTGAAGATCATAAGTTACTTTAAGATTTTTCATAATAACTTTAGTGGGAAAGATGGTTGATTACAAATAATAAGAGTCTCTCATGATATTTTAAGTCACATCACCCAAAAAAGAATAAGAATTCATATATGCGGACGTATAATCAAGGAAACCGATGAAATGAAATGTAGATGTCTAATACTCTATTTATCTGAACGCGTGAATATCAAAATAATAGACTCATGACAATAATTCAGCTGAGATCCCAATGTCTTTCACATAAGATCTATCTAGCAAGAGAATAACAAAATATCATATTTGGTTTTTGTCAGGACAACTACTAAAATGAGGGACGAAGCTTAGCTTTAACATAACTTTCCAATGAACCCTCGAATGCTTGTAATTTCTTCACAAAAATTGTTCTTTATGTCCTAAGCTTCACAAAAACTTTATATAAACAACTGTGCGCACCTATAAATAATTCATAATCAAGCTTAAATCGATAAATTTATCATATGATTTCAACTTAACGAAACGTCCGTAAAACTTCATAAAAAATAACCATAAAGGAGTTCCAAAATACATTTAAGGATCATTTTAATCATTTTCTCGCCCTTTGAATTAAATTTGTGAAGTTCCCAATTTGTCCTTTTTTTACTCCTCTATTCGATCCCTAATGTTTCCTTCATAATTGTTTACACCCTCCATAAACCTTGTACCTCCTCCAACTCAAAGCTTCACTTCTCCAATTAGAAAGTTTCCTCTCATTTCCACAGCTTCTCTAATGGCGCTGTTTGCCACCAGGCGCACTTTAGCTTCCACCATTTACCGTGTACTCTCTTCGTCTTCGTCTTCATCATCACCATCATCATCTCGATTTCGATTTTCTCTTCCCCTTTTCTTCAATCCCCAGTATTACCCATCAGAGCAATTTGTTTCGACCCGTCCCAAGTCATCCGGGTCGGGTTACTCGCCCCTCAATGATCCTTCTCCCAACTGGAGTAACCGCCCCCCCAAGGAGACCATACTTTTGGATGGATGTGACTATGAACATTGGCTAATTGTTATGGAGTTTCCTGACCCTAAGCCCTCTGAGGAAGATATGATCAATGCATATGTTAAAACCATTGCTGCCGTTGTCGGAAGGTACTCTGAAGAATAGCCTCTTTTTTGGTTTCTTTGGCATATTATACCTAGCTTGTTTCTTTTTTTTTATGAATTCATAGGAGGATGAAAGTACTATGTGGTAAAACTGGTTTATCTAGTTCCTCATTGACATACTATACCTGGGTCACCTTATTGTGAGGATGATAATTTATTCAACTATTGAATTCCTTGTTGTGACACTAGAAGGCGAGTTGATAAGAATGGGTAAAGACTAGTAAGGCTTTTAGGTTGGTACAGAGGAAGAGTGCATGTAATACCTGAAGAGAATCTCATATTGAGTAGGGGATAGAAAATCTTAGGATGTATATAAAAAAGAAAAGTTTACTTGATAAGCACACTTTTGGGCAGTATGATGTGACGTATCTCAACGTCAAAGTCATGAAGCATATTGGGCCAAAGTGGACAGGATGTGTCATGGGCTTTAGGATGTATCTAATTTGGTATCAGAGCTTGACTCCCTTAATACAGTGTAAGAGTGGGATGAATCTCTGTAAGGATACTAGAAGTTCCCATCAGAAGGTGGATATGATGCCAATTGAGTAGTGTTAGTTGTTAGAGAGTACTGAGAGAATATCCTTCGGAGTGATCATTGTTGGAGTATTCTCTTGGGATATTTTTGGATAACTGGAGATTTTATCTTCCTAATGCATTTTTAATTTATATAATTTGGTCCTATGTTCATGGATGTAGTCCGTCGGTCAAACTGACTGGACTATGTAATTTCGTTGTTTCCTTAATGCCCTTGTAATTGTTAGTAAAGATGTAATTTGGTAAATTCCACATTGTCCTTGCTATGGATCCTTACACGAATCACTTTTTTAAGCTTTAGTTGGATTCAGACACAATTAATTAAAATGTGGTACAAGAGAAGAATAAAAATCTATTTCTTTTGCAAATTTGTACATTCCAATATCCCACCGTGTTGTTTTTGGAATTTTATGATGCAGTTAACTAGGGATTGGAGAACCCAATAACATTGTGCTTTGCAGTTTTTCATGTAGTATGCTGCTTTCTAAGAAAAAACTGTTTGAATGACATTGTTTTCAAGTTTAATTTTATTTAGTAACAAAAATTGGAATAAACAGTTTTAAATGAGAAGTATAACAATTTGTTTTGCAAAAGTTCACATTCCAAATTACTATCATGTTGTTGCCAGTACAACATGATATGGTTCACTAGGGCCTGGAGAATTGAGGTAATGTTGTGTTGTTCTTTTATGATATGAAATAACGTTGTGTTTTGCAGACTTGAATGTAGTTTCTTTTCTGAGAGAAGATTTTTCAATTCACAGTTTCTTCAATTTTAATTTGATCTGGAGACAGAAATTGGTATTAAACCAAAGTAAAATAGATGAAAAACAATTTGAATGTGAAGGTTAACATTGTAAGTTGTTACCATGTTGTTCCCTTTTTTTTTTAGTACATGATGCAGTTCATTAAGGATTGGAAAATTGGGTAATATTGTGGTGCATTTCTATGTATGGCTGTGTTACTTGTCCACTGTATATCTCAATATATTTCCTTGATTTCCTTGTTTTGATCTCTTCTAGTCTTTTCTATTGAATTCTTTACAGTTCATAGCTTTATATATTTATTCTTTCAACAGATCTTCATAGCTTTATTAACTAAGTAGTTCTATTAACTTCTGCAAACTTGTCTACCAAGTTATGAGTTGTAACTATGTTGCAGAGTAATTATATTGGTGCATATATGACCCATTATGTGCTTGAATACTGATATATGTTAAATTTGTTGGTTTAGCTTTTCTACGTCAAGGACGTTATTCTTAGAGTTGAATATACTGTATAAGATTTTACACTGAACGGTATTATTTCACTGCTCTGACTAGTAAACCTTTTTGTGTATTATTAGGCATATGCTGTTTTGTTTATGTAATGGACTAGTGGTATCTCATAGCTGTTTGTTTGTATGCAGTGAGGAAGAAGCCAAAAAGAAGATTTACTCTGTTTGTACGACCACATACACTGGGTTTGGTGTTTTGATTTCTGAAGAGCTTTCCTACAAAGTTAAAGGTATGGTGTTTTCTTTGCTGGTCATTTAAGGTGTCTTGTTCTTTCATTTGATTTCCTTGAGTTACTCGTTAATTGTTATCTGAAGTTCCATTCTCAAATTGTCTTGTCATTATAAAAGGTTAAGAATTGTTATTTTCTAATATCAGGTTAAGTAGGGGCACATACTTGGTTATTCTGAGATAGCAACAGAAATAGGGATAATCTTGAAGTTGTAAAATGAACATACAACTTTTGTTCAATGATTTCAAGAAGGAATGAGCATTCACATTCCTCTTTTCCATACTTCCCCTAAAATGGAAAAGAAACGCCTTGGTTGTAGAGTTAAATGCTTACTTGGAGCCCTCCTTAATTTGCAAATATTGGATATGCAAGATCCAGGTTTAAGGCTTACACTTCTAACATAATCAGCTTCTGTATGGGATTATAGGTTATCTAAAGCAACGTCAAAGCTCCTTTTTCATAACTTCCATGCAATAATCAGCTTACCCTCGATACTTTTGCAATTAAAACTATCAACTTTCGATGGCTTTCGACCAGAATGAAGCGGAATGGAAAAATAGGATTCATATGGTTGACCCCAATAACTTTGGGATTAAGTCCCAGTTGACTGGATTGTTAAATGCTCGCTTAAACCTAAAATTAGGTACATCACAGGGTGAATGATTTTAGTTGAATAGGCAACTGTTCAGTGTGCAGCAATAAAATATGTTATGTGCCTCATCACCCATGAGCTCTGTCCTTAGAAGACATCACTTAGTTGTAGTTTTTTCAGTTTCTTTGTCCATATAATTATTGTTTGTGCTTATAAAATATAAAAGTAGTGCTACATGTATATTTTATTGTATTCTTTTGTGCTTTTCTTCATTATCTTTTGTACACTTTGTGAAGCTCCATTAGACCTTTATCTTTCTTTGATTTTTCACATTAATATTAATAACACTGCTAGTTTATTGATTGAACTTTAGGATTGGCTTTACCTTTTTGTATGAGAAAACTATTACCCTTTCCTAATATTGGCATGTGTGCGCTTTAAGGTTTGTTCTCCCCGTTAATAGTTAGCAGATATATGGTTTTTCTCAGAATTCTGATATTTGATTTCATCATGATTGATTTCCTAATGTCATGTAGATCTACCTGGTGTTTTGTGGGTCTTGCCTGATTCATATCTAGATGTCCCAAACAAAGATTATGGAGGTTAGTTTGCCGAAAACTTGTGTTTCTATGGCTTTGGGATTCTGCTGTCACTAGTAGCATGTCTGTTTCACCTGTTTACTGTTTCCATTGATTGGTGTTTAGGGGATCAGTTCATAGATGGAAAAGTCATCCATAGGCCACAATATAGATTTAATCAAAACCAAAGTACTAGACCCAGGCCCCGACCTCGTTATGACAGACGCAGAGAGACCATGCAGGTTGAAAGAAGAGAACCAATACAAAGAGGAGCATGGGAACCCAATCAGCAACATCCTGCACAACCAGTGTCAATCGAAGGCCAGAATTTCTCACATGGAACAGGAGGTCCGGCAGGATCTCAGGGGAATAATAGTTGAAGCTCCTATGCCAATTGTCGTACAGTAAAGTCTGTACTAAAGGGAATTAGGTTGGGTTAGATACTATTTGACTCGTAATTAGTTCGTTTCATGAGTTCTCAACTGAGTGAGAGGGCATGTTTTTCAGATGATTGAAATGTGAATATCTTTTCGTATCTGAACACATAAAGAGCATCGTGCTATATACTAGGAGGTGAACGTTCTTGTCTAGTCTTTAGGAAATGGTTTGCATATTTAAGTGTTGTAGAACAGTAAATCAAAAGAGTCCCAATTCAGAGATGTTAATTTGAATGATGTTTGCTGTTCGTTTTGTTTCTTTCATTTGGTTAAATCTCATTAGATGAGAAAAGCATATACAAGGGGTGGCAGAAAAGTCAGCTTCTTTTTTGCTCATCTTACTTATGTTACTGTTGCTGCTCCTTTTCTTTTAACTCAAAACTGCAAGCAACATATTACTTTCAATGTGCAGAAGTTTGAGACATGGACTTCTAGATTTGTGTTTTCGTGGTTAATTTTATTTTGCGGGGTTGATTTTGCGTATGCTGAGAATTGAGATGGAAGTGTGGAACGATATTTTTCTTGTTTTCTTCTTCCTTTGCTGCTTTTGTCTGAATGTCAAATAAATTAAGTTATACCGTGAATTACCGATGGAGTATGTTTGATCATATCGGTAAAGAAAAACAAGATTTCCAATTTTTAGCTTCACAAAATTTTAAACGTTGCTGGGGTTTTCAAAAGCTTGAAGCTCACAAATGAGTTTGTAATTTTGTTCAGATTTTTAAACTATTAATGATTGGAGTTGGTTGAAATGTGTTGTTAAAATTTTAAATGGAGTTTAATGTTTGAAGTTCATATGAGATGAAACTCATTTTTAGTATAATCATATATAATAATGTAAAAATGATTCTCATGGTAGTTTTGGTGATTTTTACCTTTTTTCTTCGGTTTGACCCTTCTCATAGCTTCCTTGGTTGTTTATGACTTGCAATTTTTTTATAGGTAATTTGGGTGGGGTGGATTTAGAGTTAACGAGATCAAGTTTAAGTTTCAACGATCCTACTTGATTCAAAAGGTGGTTTACGAATTAATTGGATGGTTTGCACATATTTCGAGCTGTTGATGAGTGATTTGGATTATTGGGTGAGTCCACATTTGATCAAGTCAATCTCACAATGGTGATTTGATGATTTCCATAGCTCTGAAATATATTTTATGACCGATTTGACCTATTAATTTGTGTGGAAGATCTCGAATATGTGATAGGTGTCAAAATCAAGCTTTAAGACATTATAAAATTTTCTGTCATTTAGAGATGCCAATGGAGCGGTGCGGGGTTGGGGTAGCGTGGGTTGAGTTTCCGCAAAAAATTTTAAATCTTACCCACCCTGCATACCAATTTTTTTTCATTTTCAACCTGCCCCACCTTGCATTACATAATGTTGAAATATTTTATGTTTCTAATTAAGTGTGATACTAAAAATAAAGACGCGAAGGTATGCTTTCTCTCTTGGAGTCTCGGTGCACGTTAGCGCAACCTGCGCCCACCGTGTGTAAGAGAGATTGTATACCTACTCAGAAGGTGATAATGGCAAAGGAAGCACAAAACATAAAGGGAAATGCTCCACAAGGTTGAAAAATAGATCCATTAGGGAGGAAAAACCGCAAAAGCAAGTTCGAAGGCAACAGAATTTGGTACAAAGTCAGCTGACTCAAGAGGATTAGATGAGTTAGCAAACAATGAATGTAGATCCATCTTCGGCTCAACTGAAGAACAAAGCAAAACTATGAAACGAGGGCACTAGCACGTCTAAGAAAGCTCGGACTAATATGTAACAATAAAATGCATAAGGAAACAATGAAACATTAACAAGCTCAAGCAAAGGTAATCTGGAATGGGGTCGTTCAGTCCTCGAGGAGTAGAAGTATTACAGAGTCAAGTAGTAGCAAGCAATTGTAGACAAATGAAGTGGAGAAAGAAGCTAGAGCACAAACAAAAAAGAAATCGATTTGGGATGAATTAGATATAGGGAAATTAGCTAATGTAGCGTATAAATTGGAGCATGTTGCTCCATAAAAAAAAGGAGGGGAAATCAATAGGTGAAATTGAATAGAGAATATTATATATGAGATCTTGTATTGGGGGAATGCGTTGGTGTGCTATGCATTAGGGGCACCCCCACCCCTTTCCAGGTGATACAAGGTCATATCCGAAGATTATGAGAAAAAAGGAATAGATAAGATTTCAATGAGAATAATGAGGTGACAGTGGTAAAGTTCCAAACAAAAATAGGGAAGCATGAGGTGATACAGGGTGACATCTATCACTATGACAATAAACCTTTTATTGTTAAGGAATACACTATTAGAACCTCTATTAAGGTTAATCAAAATTGCAGAAACACAAAGAAGATGAAATAGAAAATAAAAAATATTTTTAATCCGAGTCTACAAAAATTAATGTGTCTTCCTAAGAAATTAATTCTCTCACTCTATCCGAGGTTACAGATTAGTTTATTCCAAGATAAAATGAACTAACCTATTAAAGAAGTAGCGGTACCTCAAACTTCAAAAACTTCAACGAACGTAAGAATAGCAACAAGTCACACACTGACTCAGTCGATCGACAATTTTAATTTTTGAGAGAAAATGTATGCAGAGAGAAGGAAAATTTTTTCAGTATTCAAAAGCTGGAAAAAAATCTCTTATTTATAGCCAATTTCATCAAGGGACGCTTCTATTAGAAAAAATATGTTAAGATCCATTTTTTTCAGACCGTTGTGTCTTTTGGGAAGAGTAACGACTTTTAAAAAAAGTAACAACTTTTCAAAACGTTACCGTTACACGCAAATTAATTCTGTAGTTAACTAAATAACTAACATCGTGAATTAATTTATAAGATAAAAGAATTTAGAAAAAAGAATTTACTGAATGAGATTGACGAAATAATTTTTGTCCAAAAATATTATCAATCAATCACATCATTTGTCAAATCCAAATCTAAAGCCGAAGTCGAAGCCGAGCGAGGACAACGACGCGCGGGAGCACCTTCTTCTTAGCTCTATAAGAAGTAAAGGAGGTGTTTCCTAATATAAGAACAACAATTTCCTTTTCTTTTACCGATATGGTATAAATGACTTTTCATTTGCACTTTGCAAAGGACTTTTCATTTTCCCTCTAAATTAGTTTCCTCATTTTCCTCTTTTCTTTTCCCATTCACACTTTGTTAAACCCAACATAGCTCCTGAACTAGAATTTACAAATGAGGAATTGCAGACATTTCCTATTTGATCAAGTTTCCAGGGTTGGATTTCAAATATTAGAGTAAGAATGGGCTAAGCAAAATATGTAGTTCGATTGGAAGATGTAAAATAGGATTTGAACATCTTTTATTTTGATAAAGATGATCCAAAGTTGGACAAAGAAGTGTGGTGCTTTCATGATTTATTGCCTTCATTCAAAATTTCTTGGTCCGATAATAATTCATTGGAGGGATAATGTGTTTAATAAACGATCTAAGTTCAACATGCATAAGTTGGTGAAGAAAATGAAGGATATGAATGAACTATTAGTTGCAAATGTAAAGACAATGAAAGAGATGGAAAAAATCACTAGCTATAAAGAAAGAGAAATTACAGAGGTGAAAGCTCAATCTGTATTTACCTAGTTGTAAGAACATTATAGTGTCTAAAAGGTGGGAGAAGCATTTTCTTTTAAAGACTGTGAAGAGGTAGAGAAACTGATTGAGGTGAAGAAGAAATTGAATAGTTACTTAGCCTCAGCAGAATTTTCATATTGTTGTTTGGATCAAAATAGATGATGGAAGCATTTCCTTGGCTTATCGAGTATGTTGTTGTTTGAATCAAAATAGGTAGTTAAAGCATTTCCATTGATACATGCAAGTTTGAAAGTGTTTATGTCGCTAGTTTGTATGGTTAAAGTCAATAAACTTGATTTTATGATTAAAGTGTTTATGTTTGCTAGTTTGTATGGTGAAAGAGGGTCGATTTATTTTTATCGCATGCCACTCTAGGCAGTCTTATAAACGTCTGTAACACTCAGCCTACTTGCACCCACGAAAATTGACCAAGTATAGAAATACTTAAAACAGAAGCGTCAAACAACCAACAGAGTTTACAGGAACCAGTCCCAACCTTTATTAACCTTTAATTAATACAAAGGAAGGCTTCACGAATTAGTTTTAGGCTAAAAAACACTTTGTCTGTGCCTTAGACGAATTTCCACCTTTAAATCAAAATTCTGCACAATGGTAGTTACATGCGGCGATTACAAATGACACCTGTCCGACACTTGTCATCACAGGGTTCAAAACTAACTTTCCAACATCTATATTTCTAACAGATAGAATCTAATACAAATTACATTCTTATCTACACGAAATATCAATATTCTAACACTTAGAATATTTCAGGCTTCATTCCAACACTTAGAATATTTCTGCCAGCTTCCAACACTTAGAATATTTCAGCTGTCTTCCAACACTTAGTTTTATTTCAGCAATTTCGGGTGAACTGCCTTTGTTCCTGACATTGCCAAGTCTTCACAGCCTTGCCTCATCAAGTCAACATGCTGCCTTGCCAATGCCCATAGCCCGCACGTAAGCTATGCACGTTCAAGCTGCCTTGCCAACACCCAAGCACCTTGAACTTGTGTTGCACTGTTTTGCCATCATTCATGTCAAGACCAATGCTCAAGTCCTTGACATGTCTGCACATAGTTAGATTAAGTAGTTTGCGGGTCTAACAGACCACCCGCACCACTTGAACTCGATGTCCTCATCGAGACTGTTTTGAGATAGTCCTCGATTTGAGCATCAAACTGCCATAGGTCTTTTGCTTTCTCCCAAACAGCATCTGTTGCACTCTTGCCTTTCCAGTGAACCAAGAATTCAGTCTTAGTATTCTTCTTACTTGTGCCCAAAACCCGGTGATCAAGGATCTTCTCAATTTCAGCATCATACTGTGTAGGTACTGATGGAGGAGCCCTCTTTGATCTGTTTCTGTCCGGATCATCTTCATCTGCAAAGTAAGATTTCAAGAAACTCACATGGAAAGTGGGATGGATTTTCAACCTTTCTGGAAGCTTCAACCTATAAGCAACTTCGCCCACTCATTTCACCACTTCGAATGAACCATCATACTTAGGAATCAAACCCCGATGTCTGGTCTTACTTACAATCTGTTTCCAGATTTGTGGGGTAAGTTTCAGCAACACCTTGTCACCGAACTCAACTGAGCGACGATGTTGATCAGCATACTTCTTCATGTGCCGCTGAGCCTTGCGCAAGCTATCTTGTGCCTCAGATAACATTTCAAGTCTGTCCCTTGCAACCCTATATGCTGCTGGACACTTTCCCTGATTTTTAGATTTGGCAACATCTAGTG